CCCCATCCCGCCGGGGCGGGGAGGAGTGAGCGAGCGGCTGTGTAGTGCTCAGTTGCCGACCGAGGTTAAACCACGACACAATGTTAAGTTAAGCTCAGTTCTATGTTAGAATTCAAAATTCTATCAATGTATTAAATATAATACTTACCTTTCATTCATTATTTTAAATTTTTCAGTTAGTCTGGAACATGAGGGTCTTCTGCATTTGCTACATTTTTTAGTATAATGATTTATTCTCTTGCCGCCATTATCCAAAAATAGGTGATGAATTTATATAAAGCCAACAACCTAGCTTGTAATTCACAGAGGAAAAAAAAGTTCCCTTGAACCTAAGGAGGAGTAAATTATAAACTATCTTCCAATTGCAAAATAAGCCAACACATTTGATATGCGCTATTTGCTAGTATATGTATTTTTTTATAAAAAAAACTTCTGTGTACTTTTATAACCTATCCCTTCCTAAATTTCTCCTAACCACCTAGACCATCTTTCTTTACATAATCTCTGTCCCAATACAGCTGTTAGCATAATGCAAAATGTACTTATAGATGCTTTCTTGCCTTTATGTGCCTTCTTACCATGTAAAGCTGCCATTATATTCTCCTGATTTAACTGCAACCAGAATTTTCCCAATTGTCCTAAAACTTCCTGTGTCTATGTCCTTGGCACAGACTTGGTCACATTATTTTTACAGTGACTATTTAGGTTTCTTTACAGGCACAGTTGAAAAATTGTGATAGCCACCAGTTCCAATCTTTCCAAAGCCCTGCGTAAGCAATTCAAGAACAGGAAAAAATGTGGCTATGGAGATCCTGATACTATATCAGGATTTTAATGTTGTATTCACAAAGTAAGTGAACACCATGGTGCCAGGACTTTCTTAGACCTTTTAACCTTCTCCAATATAAAAATGAAGAGCTTGAGAAATGAGAGGCACTATTTCCCCGACTAGAGTGGGGTGAAGAGGAGGGCATCTCAAAGAAAGAAACATGACTCTGTACATGTTAATTGATATATATGTGCATGTATAGTTCTGAAAAGGAATGAAGCCAGATGTCAATCCGAACAGAGAGCACAAGCAACAAGTTATTTTGGTAATATGTTTTCTTAGCTGGTTTTCAGCTAAGAAATGTCTTTTTCTTTCTTTCCTCAGTTGTTTTGCCTACAGTTAACTACATTTTTTTGGTGTGTTCTTTTTTTCTTTCTTTTTCTTTTTTCTTTTTTTTTTTTTTAAAGTGAAAGGCTCAGTTGCTACCTCTTGTATTGCTCAGTGAAAGATTTATCTTTACACAACTGAGAAAGAAGGGCATTTATACCAGTCCTGCAAGCCACATTAGTAAGGAAAAAAAGAAGAGGGAAGTAGTCAGAGCTTCACAATTTAACTATAAATTTCATGAATAACCCAGTTGGGGGGAGGGGGAGAGACTACTTACATCGGAAATGCCACTAGGAGCTCCATGCTACGTGCTTAATAGTAGAAGAGGCAATAAACAATTAATTGTACCCTCTTCAGCTTC